GTACTAAACCTGTATCTAAAGTACAATGATCTTACACACGTGTATAGTCATGCCAACCGCATCAGTTCCAGAATATCCCCACCGATCACTCACTATGACCCAACAGAAACACCATACCAGTAATCCTAAGTGATACACTACTAGAGTAGCTCAACCATATAACACATGCATACGCCGACCATCACTCAACCACCTATGCCAACACTACATCAACCCTCACTCGGCTATACTCACACACACACCAACACCACAACAGCCCTTATTCGGCCACATATGTAGCAGCCCTGGAAATTTAAAATGGAATTTTATATTCAAAAATATCAAATGCGGAAGCGATGTCAAAATTTGAATAACATCCCTTACACTGAAACCGAAAACGTGCTCACAAAATATAAAAGATTAAACTACCTAAAGGAGAAACTTGAAAGTAAAAACTACGAATGTGACTATGGAGTCTTTAGGCGTCCCCTTCGTCGTCCTCCTGCGGAATCGGCTCGGGAACGATGTCCTCTTGATCTGAAATGATTAAATAAGGAATGAGCTACACTAGCCCAGTAAAGACATCACGATATCTCACCGTCACGGAGGTAAAGGTGGGTAGAAAACACAAAACAACCAATGGAGCATAATTTACAACAAATCCTTTTATCGATAAATAAAACCTTTACCATTTACTTACCTCGGTGAAATTCATAAAACAATATACGAAAGCAATAACATCATCATCATCATGGAAACATATATATGAACTGTATAACATAATACCTATCACATTTTTCGTAATTCAATCGTTACACAACATATTTTCCTAATTCGCCAGCCCACTAGTATCCATGAGGATCCATAGGGGTCCCACTACCCGTTAATCCTTAACACTTGAAATCAAATTCCATGGCCGTCCCCATACCCCGTCCGGTATGGGCGCCAAACCATAGACCTCATTACCCTGTCCGGTATGAGGGTGAAACGGGCCGTCCCCATATCCCGTCCGGTATGGGCGCCAAAATACATAAGATCTCCATACCTCGTCCGGTATGGGAGACCACAATCCCGGTAGGGTTCCCTACGGACCCGGTTTGTCTACCATCTCCCAAGATATCTAGTCAGGCTGATCACATTATACCATTATCCATTTACATAATTGTTCGTTCTCTTTTTCCTCAATCAGCATCATTAATCCACATACAAGCAAGCAAAACGATAATTTATGCTAAGCAGACAACATACAGCATCAATATCCCGGTCATCTAATCCATAATCAATAAAACAGTAAAACATGCACACGAAACTATAAAATGAAAACATCGAACCTCATGCTACGTTTAAAACTGTAAAACAGGCCAAATAACAATTAACCGACAAACACACTAGACTCGGGCTCCATTAGCGACCTTAAGCAATTTCACACATTCGTTGATTCATGAAATACCGTTTTATCATTTATTGAACTTTAAAACCGTGATAGGAAATAGAGTGAGGGGTCCTTACTCGTTTCGGGGTCCGAACACGGCTTCACAGTGTGCTTGCAGGCTGTCCCTAATTTTCCCTGAATTTTTCTCGGGGAACTGAAACGCACTACTGGTACCTGCACGTGTTCCAAAAAAAATCCAAAATTAGGCCCAGGGCCCCTTTCGGCCCTAATCGCAACTCCGGCACGGCGGCTCCGCCGTGCTCCGGCGACGGCGCCGCCGCTGGCGGCGGCGATTCGCCTCGGGTTGGCTGTTTTCGGCCGTTTTCGGCCGAATTCGACCACACTCGCATCGGTCCCTGCGAGAAAACAACCCTAGGGCCCTCAGGGGGCCAAAAAATCACGGAAAAATGGAGCTTACCGGCGGCGACGCTCTCGGGTGCGGCGGCTCTCCGGCGAGGTTCGTGTTTTGGTGATTCGGCTCCGGTCAACCTGTAGAGAAAAGAGTGGTGATCACGGTGATATAAAAATTGCATCAAACGGAGGCCGGGAAGGGCCTCATCGGAGGTAAAAACCGAGAAGGGACGCGACGGCGCCGCTGGGCTTCGGCCGTGTATTCCGGCCGTTTGGCCGGGATTTTGGCTCCGATTTGGCCACAGGAGGAATCAGCGTGGAAAAACGAGTCGGGGGTACGAAATTTACCTCGATCGGCGGTCGGAAGTTCCTCCGGTGCGGCGGCGGGTGGCGGCGGCCGGCTTCTGGTTCGTCTTCTCCGGCGAGCGGCAGGCGGCTAGGGTTTGTGGTCTGGTGTGGGGGTTCTATTTATAACCCCTTGCCTTTTGATCTCAGCCGTCCATTTTGTTTTAATCTGGGCCGTCCGTTTTTGATTAAATCTGGGTCGTCCGATAGCCCGCTTGATCTGGGCCGTCCGATCGCGCCCACGCGGATCGCCAACGTGGCCCTTTTTGGACGACGTGGTTTTGCCACGTGGCAGTCCCGGGTTGGCCGGGACTGCTGACCGG